ATGCACGGAATGCCGACCACCTTCAATCGATCCGCTCGCGACGCGATTTCTTTCGCCGGCAATCGATCCCGATAAGCGATCCGGTTTGACGATATCGACGAAAGCTGCGATGACCGGTGCGCGGCGGTCGAGGTGCGAGGAGAGAGAACAGGAAAACGAAGCGTCGCCCTTGACCCTTACGCGTCCCTCTCGACGTCGCGAACTGCGGCGTCCGAGACAACGTGACCCCCCCCTCTCTCTCTCTCTCTCTCTTTCTCTCTCTCGTCCTCGTCGTCTCTTTCACTCGCGCCGAAAGAGAACGCTCGCGAGTCGTCCCGAAGCGGGTCAGGGTTTTCTGCTAGCGCGACTTACTTTTTCTAGAGCTAGGGGCTTACCCCCAATCCCCAAGTCGAATTGCAAATTCGCGCATGTCGCATTCGCTCTTCGCACTCGACGTTTCTCGGCAGCGCGCGCGCGCGCGGCCGCAAAGTGCAGCAGCAGCAGCAGCAGCAGCAGCGGATTGAGAAAACAATGCCTCGGCGGAAAGTACGATCGATCGGCGAGAGAAGTACAGTCATCCAGCGCTTTCGCCCAAATTGGCCGATCGGATCATGCAAACGACGGACGCTGAGAGCGGCTGGTGAGAGTGTCCGATAGAAGTTGCTCCGAGTGAAGTTTCGTTTCGTTTCGCGCGCGTGGACACGCGCGAGAGAGTTACAGGTGTGGGGACGTATACATTACGCGCGGCGGGGCGTCGAATTGGATTATCACGTGGGGAGCGCGAGAGAATTCCCGGAGATTTTCCCCCGATACTTCCCCAAGTAAATCGATCTCTTAATTATTTGCTCAACTTTCCCTCCGCGTAATACTCGAGATCGTACTCTTACGAGGGCATCGAACCGCACTCTGAAGCATCTCTTCTCTTCAACGACACGCCCAACACGAGAAAGTTCCCCTATCTCTATATATACAGCTCTCAAAGCCGGATCGTATGAATCTCAAGTGTGACCTAATATGCGAAGAAAAAGAGGAAGGAATCCTTTTTCCAACTAATATTATCAATGCAATCGTGTTCGCGAGCGCAAAAAACCCCTCCCCCCTCCCACACACACACACACACACACACACACACGACGTCGCGCCTTTCTTCACTCTTCGCGGCTTCACCGACCGGAAGCGCTCGTTGCTCATCGGCCGCGACCTCAAATGCGTCGCCTTCGCTGACGACGACGACGATGACGGCGGCGACGACGACCCGCGCATGTGGGTCGCGCTTAGCCCACTTCGCGACTGTCCCGCCACATCGCGACATCGTCGCGCCGCCACCGAGTGGCTGCACCGAGTCGAAACGGTCCCACGTGGAAAATTCCAGGTCGCCGCGCACGGTCGCGCGGCAGACACGGCGGAGCTACGCGGCGCGTTTCGAGATCGCAAGTTGTTTCTCTCGTTCCCTTGTAGCTCGACCCGGTAAGCTCCTAGTCGGAGCGCTTATGATTATTCCACCCACGAAACGGCGAATTATCGCTCATTGAGCGTATCAAGCACGCGCTTTTCGCGCGCTCGTCCGATAAATCATAAATCCAATCCGATAGATAAATATATCTCGTTTACTTTTGTCAGTGTCCCGACTAGAAATTTTGATCAGGTTCATCTCACTTTGATAAGGAGCTAATAGGGTGAATGAAAGGTAATCCTAAGTAAGTCAGTCCTTATAATGTCCTAACGACAAATGAGTAAGGAAGACCTTTATAAGGTTGTAATGATTATAAGGTTGTAATGATTATAAGATTATAATGATTGGGTCCACATTAGGACCTTGATGTACCAACCTAGTGTATGATATAATATTCGGTTCGGTTGATCAGGTTCTTGTCGGGATCTTATTCATTGTATCTAATATGATTTGCATTGTCAAGTTTTAACAAAACAACTTTTGGGTGTCATTTCGAAATATAAAGATGTTTGCATTGAAAAAACACTTCAGATCACTTGAATATATTTGTAAAATGCTATAGAAACTATCCTTTTTTTAGCAGTCAATAAATAGTTGTAAAATTAATGTGACATGCAACTTTTCTCTTTAACACTTTATGTACTTTATGTCTTGTCACCTTGTGATACTTTATGATATTCATTTTGTTTCTTTTTCGTAACATTTTACAAGTATGCTCAAGCGATCTAAAATATTATTTCATGCAAATATCTTTTTATTTGGAAGTGACATGAAAGAATTTTCAGCGTGTCATTTTTTATTCCTAATGTCATCATCCAATATAGCCGTGGCGAGTAATCAGGAGCCGTAATTTGAAAAAAAGAAAAAACATAATGAGGATTCCATACGGTGACTCAATAAAGCCCTGACTATGAATCCTTACTAAGATCCTGATATCCACGCTGCGTTATATGACTTACTAGGATAGTATTACTTTATTGGGACCTAATGTCCAAATGAGGTTAACCTGATCCATGGATCATGGGATAAATTTCTAGTCGGGACAGGAAGATTGTGTAATTTGTCGAAAATTCGATGTACGCAGCGACATATAAAATTGATTTAAGCGAGTTCTCTCTTAGCGGGGAGAATTTCAAGGAAAAGCGCTCCTTGCGGCTTTTTAATCTTCGAGATTAAACTTCGCGGTAATCGCGAGTCTCGGATGCTTTGATTAAACGAAGGGAGACCGCGAGGCGAAAACATCTCTCGTATTTTATGTGAGAACGCATTGTTCGGAGCCGTTGTTGTGGATATATTACTTTAAGAACCTCTGACGGAAATATTACAGGCTACGCGGAACTTCCTCGTGCACGGAGGAGAATATAACGGCGGAGCGGCGCTTCCGTGTTGTCCGTAAAGGAAATTGAAGTCCCCGTGTCTTAGGGGGAAGGAAAATTTCCGCGACTTGTGTTAATTGCCTGACGCGCGGAGAAGAGAGGTGAAGCGCATTAATTAACTCGGCGGGCATTAATCACGCAGCGCACACACCGCGTGGCCGACGTGTAAACGTTTACGCACAACACGATCGATCGAGACAAAAGTACGCGTGATAGTTTCAAGAGTCGTCGTCGGCCGTCGATCGGTAAAATTCGCGCCGACGAAACGTACGAGATTCGAGTGATGTGTACGCTCTTTTTTGTTTCGGATCAACGGGTATTGTGGAGTGGTAACCGGGTGGTAACTTTGCAGAAATAAAGGCCATCCGCTGATTTCAATAATTTTTACTTGTGTTATTACGCTCATCACTGTGTATGAATAATATTGCGAAGATCTTGACCGGAGCTTTTCGCTTGTCGAAAAATTATCGATAGAGAAAGATTGAAAAATCTTATAGTTGACGTGAATGCTGAAGAACATGAGGGGCTTCGCCCGTTCGTGTATTTATATTATGCGTATTTATATTATTATTGTTACATGTACACTGTGACATGTTGTGTTCTTTAAAGACTCGTCTTCGCTAGAGCGCAATTTCCAACTCGCGGAAAATATCAACAACGAGAAAGCAAATCATCGTCCGATCAGCTGATTTCAATAAGAAAGGTAAACAAAAACAACTTATTCTCGGCGTGACACAAAAGCGCGTAGTCTACATGGAATGTGAGAAAATTGCATTCCACTCATTGAGATAAACAACAAACGCGGACTGAGACCTTCGCAACGTCGCTCCGGGCGATGATCTCTCTTTGACAAACCACCTCAAAATTACCGGAACCGGAAAATGGATACGGATGGGCCGTATCTCTACCTAATCAAGCATCCAGAGCCACACCGAAAATCAAACCGACAAGGAAAGATACAGTAGACTGCGGGTCGGCAAGTTCCAGGTAGCGAGAAAACGCACAGACCACCGTTGATAATAAATCCGCTCGATTTTCGCACGCGACAAGCGCGACGATAAGAGAGAATTGGCTCGGAGGATCGCGGCGAGTGACGTCGGCGAATATTTCGGGGCAAGTTCGCGAGCCTCATCAAGACTGCGCGGCGGCGCGGACGGGCAGAGTGCAGCAGCAAGCAGCGTTCACCGCTTGTTCGAACACGCGGGGCTCCGGCGCGAGTTCCGTCGTTCCGTCGTCCTGGCGGCGGCCATGCCATGCGAAGCGGAATGGTAAAACCGCTGTAATTCAACGCGTATCCCCGACGCGCAGTGGAGCGCGCAAGAGCGACGAAGGCGCGAGAGCGAAGGCGCGCAAGCTGCCAATTTCTCGAACGCGCGCATTAGGGAGACCACATGGTCTCCGCCAACGGCCTCGCGTGGTAACCGCGCCGAAACGTGACTCCGCGCGAAATTATCCCGCCGTGAATCGCGCAAGAGCTGGTAGCGACTCGATCGCGAAAAAGCCCGTCGAGATACGAGGTACTCGACTGAGTGTCCGTCCGTCGGCCGCGCGAGCAGATGCCGCCGTCGTCGTCGTCGCCGCCATCGCACATGGCCGACGCGCGCTGCCAATTTGCGACTCGCCAATTCCCGGAATCCGCGAAATATTTTTAGCGGCCGCGTAGTACTTCGTTCCGTTGTTCCGCTCGGGTGCGCGGCTCTGTGTGACGTTTGCGCGAAAGACACGTGCTCGGAGTCGGTCATTTCGAAATCGCTTCTCGCCGTCGAATTGTCCGTCGGCGAGGCCAGAGATTTATATAGACGTCACGCGACGGCGAGGTGTACGAAGCGGAGGATTTTTTTGCGAAGGATCAAGGAGAACACGCGAGTTCTCATCGGATAAAAAATCTCCTCTCCTCAAGTACGAGGGGAAGGTACGCTCGCGATAATTATAACCGCCTGTATAAATTACAGGCCTAAGGAATAATTCCATACAGTTTATATGCAACGTATCATTTGTTTGTTCGGGCTTGGCCTCCGCGAGATAAATTGCGCGAATCGCCAAGAGAGCATGAAGTAAGGTCTATTCTGAGACGCTTCTCACGAGGAAACGTGCCGCCGCGCGCCGAGCTAGAAAGGGTTGCGCGCGCGCGTCTGTCGTTCACCCGTGGAAATCTAATAACCACGATCTCGCGGAAATTGTTTCGTACTCACCATCTTCAGAGTCTCCTCGGGTCTCAACAGGTAGAACATGGATTGCAAGTGCTGCTGGATATCGCATCCTGCCGCCGAGACTCGCCTGGAGGGCCGAGCCCTTTCGTTCGGCGGCAAAACCAGGGCTGCGCCTTTTCCCGCGAAGTAACATTCGCTCAGGCTGTAAACAGACAAGCGGATGATGCGTGAAAAAATATCCGGGTTGTCGCGACAATTTCAGCAAAATTCAAAAGCTAAGGCCGCTCACGCGCGCACGCACGCACGCGTTATTTTATCTAGAGAAATACGACGGCAGTCTGAAAAGTTGCCAGCCTAACAATGGAAGAAAATTTGGTTTGCCGTGAAATATGTTTTATTTTTCAATATAAACCCATCTTGCGCAAAGCTTTTTCAACTGGTGCTACTACTCGAATGATTAGACAGATCGAATAAAATTTTTAAAATGGGTTTATATCAGGGATGCCACTTTCCGATACAATTATAGTTCGACCAGTTTCTAATGCCATGTATGCGCGTCAGGTCGAGAACTTTTCAGACTGCCTACGTAATTCTCCGGGCCGCGCGAAATATTTCGGCAAATCGTATCGACCGTCGACGAGCGCCGTCGAGAGATTGGGAAGCACTGCTTTAGGAAAATAATCGCGTCCTCGTCGTTCGTTGCATCAGCGTATACGATACGTAAACGATATGCATAAACAACTCCAGACGTTGAACAGATGCGAACGTACACGCGTGTGCAAGTGTATTAATATTTAGGAACACAGCGAGAGCGCGTTGATTGATCGATCTCTGAAATACTGATTAATATATCGTTCAATAACACGTGATTTAAATAGCCGCATCTTTTCGAAAGAAAACGTCACACAACTCTCCGAATAGTGTGTGCTACGAGATCAAAATTTATGAGATTCCTATTTGGACGTTAAAGTACTCCGGATAAGACTCGCGGAGTCGATGAGTCCACGAAGTAGTTTCGAGATGCTTGCATGTTGCTTGTCACGCGAGGAACGTTGTCGAAAGAAATGCCCGCGCGTTCTCTCTTGACTCATCTCCGCCATATTTGCAAGACTTAAATATACTGCGTTAAGGGGGGTTTCGAGAAAAAACGCATTTGAAAGTTTAGATATACTTAAACAACGGCCGTGCGCGCTAACGTATTTCAGCTCGTAGCTCCGTTAAAACCATGAATTTCAGAAAATCCTCTCACAGGAGTATTCTACACACAAGTAGCAAATAAAAAAGTACAAAAAAAAGAATAAAAAAAAAGAAAAAAAAAAGAAATCGATTTTTTTGAGCCCATGAGAGAGAACCCCCCCATTTTAATTAGGAACCGCGCGACAGACAAGCCGCAGCTCAAGTTCAAGGAATGACAATCGATGAGCTCTCGACTTACTTGAGAGGGGGCGAAAACTTTAGACGCAATTTTGGCGCTCCTAAACAGCTGTCGGCGGCTTTTAATCCCCGTCGAGATAACGGAAACGCTCATCGCGATCCACTCGTGTGCACAGTTGGTTTCGCGGCTGCTCCAATTAGCAGCTCGCGGTAGACTATCGAGTTTTAATTAATTAACGCAACTACGCGATCAAATGCCGTTGCCGATACGTACGTCGATGAGAAGTAGTGAGCGGCAGATGTATCGTTTAAAGGACGCTGCAGTATTCATCGCGCAGGAGCGCGCTGCGTCGAAAATATCGAGATTGCCGAGCGAGAGGCACACGCGGCGCGCGCGTGTGAATAATCCGCTGAAATCGGCCGAAAGACTCTCATCAGCTCAATTAATCAGATTAACTAAATCCAGCGAGACAAGTGGAACGCAATCCAGTCTAACGAACAAGTCCACTTAAATTCGAGGGAAGCGCCCACATTATTCATATTCAACCGCACACACGTCGGGGGGAGGGAAGGGGAGGGGAGGGGGGGGGAGGGGGTTTAATTGACGAGAAGAATCCTCCGCGCACTCCAAGCGCGTCTCGCGGAGCGTGGAGGACTCTCAAAAGCGGTCCTGTACTTTCGAGCGGTCGCTCCATGCGCTTGCAGAGTGAAATCTTCGCAATTATTCAAACGATCCCTCAAATCATTAACAACCGAGATCAAGCGTCTCGGAGAGAGAGGTGCCGCGTGCGCAGCAGTTACCTCGACATCACCAGTGGCGTGCGCCACTGATACAGTCGCATCGACCGACATCACCGTCAATTAGCCTGAGCCATTAACGAGAGAGCCGCTCTCGTCTCTGATACAAAGAAACGCAAGGTATCCCGCGCGCCGCGAGTCGCGCTCGCTTCGGAGAGAAACGTATCCTCGGCGCGCCTAATCCGCGAATCGCGAATCCATCGCGAGGACGAGGAGGCGCATTCGAGAGATTATGCGCAAAGAGTCGGCGCACCGCCACGCTCCGGCGGCTTCTCCGACAGACGCGGCGATATTTCGCGTGTTTCGCCGGCGAATTAACTCCGCTCCGACGCTTCGTCATATCTGCCCGCGTCTCCGCCGTCATTATCGCGCGCGAGCGAGCGAGCGCTCCTTCGGCGCTTCCTGATAATGAACGGGCGTCTTTTCTTTCCACGCACGCGCACGCACATATACCTGCGATAACCACGCGTCCAAATCCGTGTGCGCGTATTTACACGCGATTGCGTACACGCTCGTGACGCTCGGTTTTTCTCAGGCTAAGTAAACCGTCGCGTTCTCATACGATGACCAGACCACTGACCAGACATGCCGTTTGGAACAGGCGAGCTTCCGCCTATCGTGCGGCGACACAATAGAAAGTTTCTCCGTCGGGGACCTCGGCCGCGAAATGAGCGCGTGCGACGCGCGGAACGCGAAGCTGCGGATCGCGAGGTTCGCCGAGGTGCACCTCGATATCAAGTATTATAATACAATAATTCCGCGATCGTGACGTGACGCGTAATGACACGCCGAATCAGAGCGAGACGACACGCGGAATGGAATATGGAATCGATGAACCGTTGACTGGAGGAATTATAGAATCAGATCCTGCAGGAGGATACCTCGCGCGCGCGCGCGCGCGCGCGCTCGAGCGACAGCCGCCAATTCCCGCTTCGGGATCGCGAGCACGCTCCAGCGGGGGATGAATGCCGTTGAGTAACGTCGAGATGGCTCCATTTAGCTCATCAAGTCGTCACGACCGCGTCTCTCTCTCTCTCTCTCTGGATCACAACGTCGTAAGCGCAGCCATGATAATGACCGGCCGTGAAAACGACGGCGATGATAAACGAGCGACTTCGCGGTCAGGGAAAACCAAAGTGAAAACCTATCGCGTCCTCGCAATTGGTAATGTTCCTCCTCGCCTCCCTCCTTGACCGAACCTTCCAAGCGCCTTTTCTAATAGTGTTATCGAGAGGCTCGACGATAACTTTCACACGACGGGATCGCCTTAGCGTGACGCGGCTCATTACACGCACGAGCTTATTAACAAATTGGGCCAAGTCAATCTCCGTCGACATTTTCTTCAATATTCACCGTCAAGCGATCAGCTCGGCCTTCTGGTTGTTAGCCGAGCCTGCTCTATATAGAGCACGAGTCCGCGTTGGCCGGTCGACTAAATTATATACAGGATGTCGCGGAATTGGTGGAAAGTGGCCGCGACGTTCCCTCTGCCAGGACTTAGAATCGTCCAAGTTTTTTCCTCTGTGTGTGTGTGTGTTCATGACGACTGCCATTAGACGAGCATCGGAGGACAAGCGCGATCTCGCATGGTCTTTTGGCAGTGTTTGGACAGCGCTGACAGACAGGCGTACAGCTCGCGCGAGTGTTGTATAGATCCGCGGACGTACTCGCCGAGGATTCTGTCTCTGTCTTTGAGTGTTCCCTGAATATTTCAGCCTGTGCAAACTACACCCCATTGTTTACCCACGCTACGTCCAACGTAAACGGAAGTGCAGCTGCGAGAGCCGCGAGCCGGTGTATCTCGCGAAATATACGTGAGTTAGCCGGATCGTTGATCGCGCGCGCAGCGATCTTCTTTTCAGCGTCGTCCCCGTTGTGCTCGTGGACGATTTACCGCGCTGGCTCGTAACCCTCCCCCCCCCCTCCCCAAGATAATCTCGTGGACAAAGGCGCGACAGAGAGCTCGTCCTTCGCGGCTCTAATTATAGCGGCGCGTTTAGACCGTGCCAGAACGTGAATCGCCCATTTCCATTGCCGGGGCGACCCGACGGCGGAGGGTCAATCGCGATTCAACGCGACTTCGAGTCTCGGCGAATCGGCCGGCGACAAGTCGCCGAAGCGCGACTTTCTAATGGCATTATAATCGCGCGCGGCTAAACGCGCGCGCACTCGCTCGTTATCGGCCGATCCCGAAATAGCCGGCGCGCGATTTTACACATTGACGGCGATGATCGCGGCCTCGCGTTTACCGTCGCCGGCCGATTTCCTCGGATCGACCCTAATTGCGAACGAAGGGGTTTCGCGGGTTCGCGACGCGCGATCGCCCCGTCTCTCCGTTTGCGAGAACGCTAACGAGCGAGCAATTCGCGAAAGCGCTAAAACTAGCGGCCGAGAGAGAGAGAGAGAGAGAGAGAGAGAGAGAGAGAGAGAGAGAGAGAGAGAGAATGGGAAAACATGGCGCGTCGTAAACGCGTCTTACAATATATTTTACAGCATCGTCGCGCGCGACCGCGCTCTTTTTACAGCCGGACGCACAGCGGGACGAAACATAGGGATATGCGGACATCGTACTTTGCAGGCAAAATATAGCAATTAGCGGAAAGCTGAATATTGGGATGAAGACATTTGGTCAAAAGACGATTACTCGTAAACAAAAAATTAACTTTGCAAATGTTTAAAAAATTATTGTTTAAACAATTCGTTGAAAATGCGAGGTGCCAGGAAACTGATAGCGTCATTCAATTCTACGGGAAAAACTTACATAGAATCCATGTGCTGGACAATTTTTTCTCAACCCTATTTATTAATAAAATAAAAAATGTTTCAATGGATTGTCTTCTATCGCCGCACACAGTGGATCGAAACTTCAAATTCTGTGGACATCGACTAAAATTCTGTTCGGAAACAAAATTTTGTGCAGAAATAAGTTTGAATGAAATTAATTTTCATAAAATATTTTATTTATAATGTTTTCGTATACCATTCTGATAATAATAGTATTGTAACGAATATACCATGGTATATGAATATACAGTGTTCCTATTCGGTTTCAACAACTAGCACCACGTGAAGGTAAGGAGCAAGCTAGCCTTGGGCAAGTTATATCAAATCTTCTTGCAGAGAAATTCAATAAAATATTTGTTACATATTTTTGAAAATTTTAAGATTAAACAATCTGTATGAAAACACAAGAAAAAATTGCAAGACTAGTGGATTTTGTGAAGCAAAATTCGTGAAAACAGCCAAGGATAACGATACAGCACAGAGGTTCTTCGCAAATCCTTTGATTACGTATTATGTGTATGAATGGAACTGGATTAAACGAAAGAACTACTCGAAATTTTGCGATTCTTTTTCAATCCGTTGCAACAGATTGAAAAAAATTGATATCTTGTTTCTTATCCATGTGACGCTGACTTGAAACCAAACAGGAATATTTAAAATTCAATAAGAAAAAAATATTGTTATAAAAATATTATGGAAATATATAAACAGAAATTTTACTGAAATTTTCATTACAAATGATTTCTGGGCGAAATTCTGTCTCCGAATCGAATTTTCATTCGTGTACAATTCGTGTACATAATAAGTTAGATGTTTTCTATCCACTATATACGATAAGGTATAGGAGAAAAGATCGCACGAGATCGCAGCTGAAACCTATACGGACTTTTTACCATATGAATGGTTTCTTTAAGTCCTATTTAGTAGATCTTGAACAAATATGAACATTTTTTTTAATTATTCAATAAACATGTGTGAGTTGAGTTACGATTTCGTTCTAATTCATCATAGAGAAAAATGCGTAAGATATAACAAAATCCGGCAACGGATATGATAAAAATGTTCTTGAAGAACCATTGAATTGTGTACCATAGGATCGATAATTATTTATATAAAATACAGCGAACACAAATGGACGACTTGTGCTTAACACATTTTACTTATCACAGAAACTCGAGACTTTAGACGCTTACGGTATCTATATTACTCGTTACTTAATATTTCCTGCATTCGTATCATATATTACAACTATTTTACAATACATTCTAGTAGATGAAGTTGTGAAATTCGAATTTTTTTTATTTTTGGCTCGATGTCCAGCTTTTTCACCGTTTCGATCCACTGTGCGGCGGCGGCGGCGGCGGCGGGGGAATTTTCGCTCGGCCGCCGTTAAGCGTCTTCAAGGCTGCGGATCGCTCGGTGCTTTTACGATAGACACACACGCGACGCACACGGCGAGCCGAGCTCGTTCGACCGTGGCGCATAACTGCATAATTAACGAGAATGATCGGCCAAATAAATTGCGACGGCCTGTTCAAATAACGCCGGCACGTCTGATCCCGAAGGCGGAATAAGGACCGGCCGAGGCGCGCCTCGGGCCGCAATAATCAAGTACGCCCTGCTTGCCCCGGCACGAATATCCTTCGTGCGCCGCGAGATCATGAACAAGAACGCGTCGCGGGATACTCGACAGCTCGAGCACGAGCTTCGTTAATAGTCCGAGGGAATTCGGCGCTCGGATACGGAGCGGGAATAAAGTACCGCGACGAGGAGGAGGAGGAGTCTTCCCGCTGATAAATTCGATACGAAAAATAACGCCGGCAGTTGCCGTCACGTATCTCAAGCAACAGCGATAAATTCATTTGCCGCGTTTAATGCGCGCACGCGCGCGCGCGCGCGCGCGACGCGCGTCCGCGCGGCGAGAAATTTATTGACCGCGCGTTTAACTACGACTCGTACGCGACAAAGAGCCGCGTGTCGACGGCGATAAATTTATCCAACGTGCATTTGAGCACAGCCGGTCGTGCGCGGACGCGGCCCAGTCGATTTATTCAACGTATTTAAGCACAAAAGAGCGCCGCCGCGCCTCCGCTTTTCCGCGCGTTCCCGCGCGAGCTGTCGCCTCGCGGGGAAAACGCTTCCGCGCGCGCGACCTGCACATATCCCCGGTCCTGCGCCTCTGATCATTCGGTATTTACCAGGCGATCGTCTGGCCGTCCGAGATAGCGTGCCCGCAACAGCGGCACAGCACACCGCGCGGGGTAACACAGCGCGGCGGCAGCTGACGCCACGACGATGAATCGCGTTGGGATCTTTTCAGAGCGGCCTCGCGCGCGCGCGGAGAGACGGCCGACGAAGCGAGAAGCATGAAAAGGATTAACGAGGCGGATCCATCTTTTTCCGCAACAAAGCGGTCCTTTACCTGTCGACGTAGCCGTCGTTCACGTATATGGCCGGTAGTACCCCTGCGTTGGCTGCTGCAGGGGCGCTCTCCTCGGGCCTCTCCGTAATGGCGCACTCGCGAGATTCGCCGACAACTACGGAAATCGGTCGGCCGACGGGGGACTAGAGGGATCGTACGAGGGGGTGTGAATCCCCCCCCTTCCCGCGAGAGTACTCGCTCGGCACAGAACAAGAGAGACACGAAGACGACGACGACGTCGTTGACGTTTCTCCGCGCCCGGCACGACCGCGATTCCCCTGCCGCGACCTGCCGCGGGACAAGAGGAAGTCGACCCGGGAGGTCGTTGGAGGACCTCGCGCGAGGTTGATGCGACGATGATCGCAGGAGCGATCTGCCGCGCGAAACCTGAGGACTCGCGGACGTCACGAGAGGAAGGAGATCGCGCGCGAAAATCGTTCGTTAAAGACCACGTTTCTCCAGAGCAAGGGGGAAGGAGGGAAATAACAAGGATGCAGGCGCGAGAAGACGGCACGCTGCAATGCTGCTCGCACACGTGCGATTAGGCGGAGAACCGGCGGGATACTAAAATCATCTCGGGATTTAAGCTAGAACGAAACGGCGATACGTGGGCGGATCTCCGCGCGAGCGGAACGCTCGCTCGCTCGCTCGCACGCAGGCTCGCTCGAAATATATCGGCTGGCCGTATTATTAGCGCCCGCAAAGAGACCGTCGTCGTCCCTCCTTATTACACACCGAGTATTTGCACGACGACGAGACGAGGGAAATTCGTGGAAATCGCGCTGTCGCGCGGGACACGCGTCCGCGCGGCGCGCGACGCAGTTCCGATGCTCCCTGTTCGGCGTTTATCGCGCGTATCGGCGCGCGCGAATCGCACGCTGCTGTGCTGTGTCGTACACCTCTTCTTTTACGCGCAGAAGCAGGAAGAGGTGCATGTGGAAAAATGACGAAAGTGCTGCTCGCGCGTCTAAGGGCCTAGATAACGCGGAGAAACTTGAATAGCGTGACGCAAGCGATGAGGAAATTGACTTGGTCAAAACTGATTTATTCTTTCTACGGTCCAAAAATATTCCACCGCGATTGGCTCCAATTTGTTTGTTGCTCTCAAGTTATTCTGTGTATCCGGGCTTTGAGGGAATTTTACACATGCGGAGCAGGCAGTTTTCAAGGCTATTTTTACGAATTTTTTTTAACAGAAACGGTAGGATCGGTAGACATGAAATTTTCACAGTGTATTCACGGTGTATAATGTTCAAAGTATAAATTTGTTACTATCTATATGGAAAGTACATATAAGAAGAACTTTAGCCCGTGTTTATCTGGAAACACCATTTTCTTAAACTGTCGACACGAATATCCAAAAACTACTACTGAAACGAATAAATTGAAATTTTTACACAATATACATATGTAGATATGTATAGAGTTTTCGCCCTTATCTCGAACACAGTTATATTTTATTTTATTTATTTTTTTTTAACATGATTACAAGTTGGAAAAGTTTCATTTTCGATACTTTCTTCTTGTACAGTCATTATTTCTCCAAACTTGGCTTCATTGCCTTCATTTTGGTACGGACTATAATGGCAATCATATATTTTAAAAATCTTTCTCACATTTTGGTTTCAGAGTAGTGAGAGGCTCGGAATTGTGTCGACAGCAAACATAGAGCTCGCAAACGGATGACTGTATTTTTACCTATAATTACAAATTGGACCGGGATTCTTGTGATTCGATAAAATTTATTTTATATTTTAAACATTAAACATTAATACACTGTGAAAATTTCACATCCATTTATCTTATCGTTTTTGTTAAAAAAAATTCGTAAAAATAGCCTTGAAAACGGCCTTCCGCATGTAATTCCCCGCTTAACCTTTAGAGGACCGGCATTTTTCCTTTAAAATTTGCAATTTTTTCGCGGAAAATTTATATATATGTAACCATCATGTCGCGTAGAGTTTTCGAGTTTGTTAGTGGCTCCTATAGGAGCCACCCCCCGGTCCGAAACGGAACGGCCAAGATAAAAAATTTTCAAAATTTGGATCTTGACACTTTCAGGGGTGGTTTTTATATCGCTGATCATCATTTTGTTATCAGATTATCGAAATTTTATAAAGAAAGACAATTATCTAAAATAAGTCTATATTACTATAAGTAATCTCATACGGTGATAAAACTTTCCTTTAGCATAACCCAGAGTTAACGACGTGGACGTAGAAAGTTATGTAGCTTCTTCATTTTTTTATATCTTTTGTTATTAAAAAAGTTTTTTTAATTATTTCATTTTTTTATATAATTTTTTAAATTTTGGTTTTAAAAAATAATGAAAATTATTTTATTTCAAAAACTATTTTTCTGTATTTTTCATATTTATTTGTTACTTTTAGAGTGATTGTTATCACGCACTGTGCGCAATCGAAACTCTAATAGCGTTGTGTGCTAATTTTATATAATTCTGAGAGAAAGTGGGCGTTTCTATTACAAAAACGTACCAAGCAAGCAAATTACTATGCAGTTAAAATATTAAACTTGTTAATAAATGTTTATTTACAAGCAAGGTAAAAATCATACGAACACATATACAAATATATTCTTAGAGCACATAAACACCGACATAAATGCATAAATAACTATAATATAACCTTGCAGAAAACACTGAATGCCGATTTATACACTGAGAAAAATATCCGAAATATCCGATTGTTAATCTCGTTATCCGATCAAATATCCGATGTATTTAATCGGATAACAAAATTAACAATCGGATATTTCTGATACTTTTCTCCGTGTATGTGGCTCCTATAGGAACACCACTCCGATCCTCTAAGGATCAAAACAGATGGCATATGGAAGAACGCAAAGCAGTAAGCAAATCGAGCTGTCATAGATGAAACATAAACGGCAGACTCTGCTTATACTCTCTCATCTACAATTAGTTCATTCACCTACCGCTTACCGTTTCTTCGATCTGGCCGTAACCATAATCGCTCGCGGGCGCGCATCAAGCTTCTATCCAATTTTGAGCCCCCACGTTCGCAGTGGTGTAACGACTCGCTACTCCCGTCGAGACGCCACGTCACAATAAGCGGCGAAGTATATACATCGGACGATTACAGCGATAATCGGCAAAGTTCGACGAAGGCGAAGGCGGATATTGCGCAACGTAACGCGCTCGCGATAGCCGCGGGGATAAAAGTCAAGCCGCGTGCGCGCGCGCGCGCGACGCGCTTTTTACGAGGCTCGTGGACGACGTGAAATGGTAATGCGCGTGTGCGCCGTGTTGCGAGGGTAAATAACGTTTATGTTAATAACGGCACGTGTGGCAATATTCTCCTCCTCCGAGGAGATCAGGCCGCGCCGCGGAGAGTCTACTCGCGCGAGCGCACACAACACGCGGCGCGGCGCGCAAATCGAGAGGCCGGGGCTACTTTACGAGGCCAATAAATAATCGGCCGTGCGCTCGTTCGCTCGCCGCTTATCAGACGCTGGGTTCGCGTATTATCATATACCGGTGCGGGCCTCGCGAGACGAATGGAAGCCGTGCGCGCGCGCGCGCGCGTCGTTGTTGCACGTGCGTCGTTCATCGTGAAAACGATGACATAACCGTGTAGCTGCGGTCAGCAGAACTAGCCGTGGCAGAAGTAACGCGCGCAGCGATAATTTAGCGATAATTCGATCCTGTTGCCACTTGACTCGCGGAGGGGGAGGGGGCGGCGGCGGCGGCGGCGGCTCCGCGGAAACGAGCCCCGACAGAAAGAACGGATTTTATTTATTATTCCGGAGCGGACGCGTGTTGCCCAATGGGACTCGATACGGCCGGAATGCGAGGTTAATAGACACGTGGGAAAAGAGACAGAGATGATGGGGACGACGGAGAGAGCGAATAACGACTCAAATCCGTGAACGTGTTACGCTCCGCAAAAATCGGACAACGCTCGAGAGCTCGGCTCGATTATGAGTCTTCAGCGTGGAACAAGTACTGGTAGGGGAGGGGGAGGGGGAGGGGGAGGGGGCAGCCCGGAGAAATAGTTTTACGGTGAGTTACACGGGAGACACGGAGCAAAGCGGGAGAGAAGGTCTTTCAATTACATCTCGCAACCGCTAATAAGTAGAACTTCCTTCGGCGATTCGTCGGCCGCTCGAGCAGCCGCTCGAGTTTGCGCAACGAAACATTTACAACGAATGACGGGGTTACGGCAATACTCGTAAAATTACACATCCGTCGTTGGCGGATCGGCGGCGAAACGAATGCGCTCGAAAGAGCGCAGAGAGAGGAGTAGTATCCGGAGCAGCGAGAAAACGCGCCGGGGAGATCGCGGAAACGTTTAAATTGTTTGTAACGCGATAATCGTTGCTCGATTACAGCGGGAGATGCGAGTTACCGATTAGAAGGGACGCGGCGACTTTGCTGAATGCTCCGAGCTTGCGCTTTTACAAGCGCGATCAGATCAATCTCTCCGAGAATATTCGCTTAATCGTCGAATGAATGTATACGCCCGAAAAGGACGAACAGAGCGCGAGTTTACGCGCGCGCGCGCGCGCAACAAAGTCACGCCGCGAATTCTTTCTAAGTAAGATATGTAACATTTTCACGAGATTTATCCGACGCTCGTGATGTTACTTCCGGAATGCCAACTTGCGATCGCTCGCCGCGATAAAAGCGTAGAGAAAAGAAAAATGAAACGGTAAAAACCCCGCACGGGATAGCAACATCGTGACACGAGGGGGAAATAAAATTTCCCGTTTGCGTCTCGCCCCCTCGTATTTACGAGCTCACTTTCGCCGGAGGAGAATGAACGCGCGTTTCGCCGGATGAAATTGTTAACTTATGAGACAGAGAGGGAAGGAAAGAGAGAGAGAGAGAGAGAGAGAGAGAGAGAGAGAGAGAGAGAGAAAGGATATCCAAGAGTAAGAATTTATTTACACTCCCGTATGTCGCGGTTGACCCACTCGAGACGAAACGCGAAAGGAGGAACATTTCCGCGCGACGGCGTGTGCGTGATAACAATACAAAAGCGCGCGCGCTATTTGTCCGACTAGATCACAGTGAGTTAGTATAGCGTTGCGTGTGCGGATCGACCGACGGATCACCGCGAAGATCACGATCGTTCGGTCGTCAGCGAGGAGAGAAAAGAAACTGAGAGAGAGAGAGAGAGAGAGAGAGAGAGAGAGAGAGAGAGAGAGAGAGAGAGAGAGAGAGAGAAGGGAGCAAAGTGCCAGGCCGATCGTAATCGAGAGCGCGCGCGTCTCGCAAATTGGACTGGCGCCGAACGCTGGATCTTTATGGGGATAATGCGGAGGGGCGTGCAGATAAGAATGACCCGAGTTGCCAGCGCCGGCACCGTTAAAAGTCCATAAAATCCGCGCAAACGTGACCGGCAGTCAAAATCTGCACGTACCATCTCGCTCGCGAATGCGAACGGAGAACGGTCGCCGGATGACGTCATCGGCCGACGTAAAGTACGCTCATCGTACATACGCATGCACCTCCGTCCCCCCCCCAACTCTCATCCCTCTCTTCCCTCCCCCGCCCACCCACCTGCCCCTGCACGTGGGCGCGTTATACGGGGTGTGCGAGAAGTGGTGGTGGTCGAAGCACGCTGAAAGAGAGGAGCTTCGAGCGCGCGCGGCGCGTCTTTGTTTTATTCCTTTTTAACCGTAAAACTCGCGTGATAAATCGCCAGCCACAGCAGATTTTTCCGCGCCCGGCCGCGGATTGTAACCGCAAATTTCGTCGAGAGCGCTCGCACGAGAGAGCTGGCCGTACGAATAATTACTCGATAACTCAGACTCTCACGTTATTAGCCTGTCGCGGCTCGTAATCACCTGGCTGCTTGATCCTGAGTTACTATCCGGGAGGGGAGGGGGGAGGAGGGGGCTACTTGTACACCTAGTAATATATTTGCCGAGTGATTCGCGGGGCCATTCTCCTCATAGCTCAATTATTGTCGAAGGTCAGTGTGCTCTCTCCCTCTCCTTCTTTCTCTTCCTCGCTCTCCGCTCCCATGTTAACCATGTTCTAATTTTTAACACATCGCGACATCTCGTCCGCGGAGACAATTTCCAATTTTTCCGTTCCTCGGGAAACAACGCGGATAACGAGAGCTGGTCGCTCCGCTCCCGACGAGAAACGAGAAGCTTCAAGGAGCCTTCCGTGTTCCTTTGCGGAAGACGCTTCGTTGCTACAAAGGTCCAGCGGCAGCTTTCGCCGAACGCCGCGGTGGAACGGTACATACGCACGATTACTACGACGACGATGACGACGACGACGACGAGGCACCCCAGTGCAATCTGCCCCGGGCGATACTTTCGGCGCAGCGGTGATCCATCGTCGCGGCGCGGCGCGGCGCTGCGCGTGCATACACACCGAGATTGCATCTGCGAGTGTCATTCCCGCGTGGCGAAGAGAGAGAGAGAGAGAGAGAGAGAGACCTTTTGGGCCGAATGCGATTCGCACGAGCCGGCCAAGTGTGTCACGTACCGGTACCACCCGTTACACGCGTGAATACGGAGTGCGAAAAGATCGCCGTCGGAGCCGGGCGAGCGCGTGATTATATCGCCGCC